CTCGGGCCCCTCACTCCAACATATGCAGACAGAGTCCCCTGACCAACCCTGGTCCAGGTGTGGGGGCCACAGAGCCAGGTGCACCCCCGTGCGTCCCGGGGCCTTCGCCGAACCCGGGGTGCTCTCCTTGTCTGCAGAAGGGCATGGTTGCCGTGGTCGGGCCTTGCCTGTGCTGCCACACCCAGTTGCATGTTCCAGAAACGCAGACCCTGGCATGCCCACCCCCAGAGCAGGTGAGGTCCCAGCACGGGGCCACTGCCTGTGAGCCTGCGCTGTGGGCGGTTCTGAGGTGGGTCCCTTCAGGGCACGTGGGCACTGCTGCCACCGTCGACGCCGGAGGTCACAGCCCGCCAGCCGTGCACCCTGCAGTCTTGGCCCTCCCCAGCTCCTCCAGCAGGAGCCCCCGCAGCCAGGACGGGAGGGCTGCCAGCACCCGGCTACTGCGCCTCTCAGGCCTCGTGGCAGGAGAAGGCTGCACACACCTCTAAATAAGCTCTAAAGAGGAAAATAAGGTGTTTTACCACCGAATCAATCCCCCTCTAACTCGAATGCTCGAGAGGTGTTTTATCTCAACGGCTCTGCTGCTTCATCTGGCTCCATGCGGCAGCCACTCCCACCGCCCCAGCCAAGGTGTGAGGCTGGGGATGTGTTCGAGCAGCTCGGCCGGTCCGGAGCTCACTCCCCGAGTGTGGGTTTCACAGACCGCCCCGCCGCTCCGTGCAGCACACAGTCCAGCACTTAGTTAGTCACCATCCGCTCCCCCGGCTGCGATGGTGTGGGTGGCATTTGTGGGCCACACACACACGCAGCAGGTGGCCGGGTGGCTGCCCCTTCCCCAGACGGGGCACCAGGGGCTGCAGGCCCTGGAGGCCGAGGGGCCACCGCCCTCCGGGGGGCTTTGTTCCCGCCCACCCGAGTGCCCGCCCACACGCCTGTGTGCGCCTGAGCGTGTGCGTGTGCCTTTGCTTGTATGTGCAGCTATGTCTCTCTGTGTGCATGTGTGCTCGTTTGTGCCTACGTGTGCAAGCGTCATCCTGCAGAGCAGTCTTGGGAAGGACTGTTGGGGGTGCCAAGGGACAGCAGGGGACAGCCCAGCTACCCAGGGTGCTGCCTGCCACGGCGTCCCAGGCCCAGGAAGCAAGCAGGCCTGTGCGAGGCGTGGGACAGAGCACGGGAGCACAGGGGGTGACCTCGGGGTCAGGGCCGGTGGGAGGACAGACCTGCTGGTCTCAGGGCCCAGCACAGAGCAAAACAGGGGACATCCAGGGGACGTCAGGGGACGGGGAGGCTGCCACGGGGCCACGGGGCCTGAGCAAAGTCTTAAAGGGCTGAGACCGTGGCAGTGTCTGTCCACCTGCAACGGGGTGCAGCCTAGGGGGGCCCCCAAAGGGGGGGTTTGTAATGGGGTCCAGAACTCAGGGTGTCCAGGAAATATTAGATGTAACTGGGAGGCAACCCCCCTGGTTACAGCACCTGTGTGAGAGCTTGGAACTGATTGGCTCCACACCACAGGGCCACGCCTGCCCGGACTTACTACGGCAGCCCAGTGAAGCTGGAGGAATACGGGAATGCTGGCAGCTGTGGCCAACTGCGGGCAGAGTCGGAAATGGTGCGGCACGGGGAGACCGGCGCAGGGATTTAAGTCCAGGCACGGCAGCCTCGCGGCCTGGGCAGAGAAGAACCATGGCCTTCTGGTTCTTCTTGTGAGACACGGTGCCCCAGACCCAGCAGAGGGGGGAGGAAGGACCCTGGGATCTCAATGAAGACACAAAGCCATCACGTTTGTTTGTATAATGAACGCAACACGCCCACAGGTGCAGAGCCTCTGTTTGCCCCACGTGGGCCCCGGCGCCTTTCGGGGACAGGATCCATGTGAGAGGTGGGGTGGCCACACAGGGCTGGCCTGGTAGGAACTCTCCCCTCCCGCCGGCTCCCCCCAGGTCTTCCCCACCTTGCCTGTGAGCCCCTCCAACCCAAAGCCTGGCTCTCTCTCCCCTCCCCCCTCCCCCCTCCTGCGACTCCCCCCCACTCCCGGGCTTCACTCCCTGGCCTGCCCAGCCCAAGGGCTCCGGCCATGCCTGCTGGTGACTGCCCATCCGAGTCCCTCTTGGCCTGGTAGTGCCCCTTCCCCCAGAGCTCTGCCCCTGTTCCCAGCCCTGCCCGGGCTGCGGGACCCCACGGCCTGAGTCCTCCCCACACCGCAGGGTCCAGGGCTTTACCCTCCGACCCCACTCTGTGCCTCTGCCCCTGGGCACCACCAATCACTCCTCCAGCCCCACGGCTTTTGACATCACCTCCACGATGGCTGGTTGGTCATTTGCTGTGAGTGTCTCCAAAAAGTGCCACAAACCGGGCCACCTACACAACAGAAGCCTGTCCTCTCTCTGGGTCAGCCCAGAGCAGAGACCTGGGCTGAACGGTGCAGCCTCCACCTGTCCTGGCTCCCCAGGCCCCAGCGTGCCGTGGCCCCCTCCTCTGGGCCAGGCCTCCCTCTCACGGGGACACGTAAGGGTACGCAGTGCCCACCAGATCACCCAGGACCACCTCTGCCTCTCAGGCCCCTCGTTCTCACCCCCCTGCACAGCCCCTTTTCCCAGACAGAACAGTAGCCACCACGCCCCGGACCTCGACCTGAGCAGAGCGGCAGCCTCTGTGGGGCCCCCTTCGGTGGGGTACAGACAAAACCGAGACGGGGGAGGGAGTCTGCTCGGGGCCTGACGGTCCAGCAGGGCTTGGGTCCCCGCCTCGGGTCGGTGCCGCCCCCAGCTCGCTGAGCACAGATGTGGGGCCTCGGCTTCTGCAACCTGCGAGCCAGCTCCTCACAGAGAGGTCGCTCGGTGACACGAGGCTGGGAGACGTCCCCGCTGGGACACCAGCAGAGCCGGTCTGAGGTGTCTGAGCCTCCAGGCTAATAAATCCCCAGAGCAAACTGCTGCCCGGCACCAGCGGGCTCGGGGTGGGAAGCGGAAGGCACCAAAACCGGTGCTGGCCCGCTGCCCCTGGCTGTGTGACACCGGGCAGCTTGCCTCCCCTCTCTGAGCTGCACTTTCCTCGGCTACAAAGGGGGGTGAGGGCCTGCCAGGAGGGGCAGCTGCATGCAGGAGTCAAGTGTCCCCGGCCCCCAGGGCGGGCCCGGGAGCACAGGAGCCCTCTCCCCGCCGCCCCTCTGACCCGGTCACTGGCGGTGTCAGGACTCGGCCAGTGTGCCCGAAATCGGCAGCGTGGGCGCCTGCTTGTGCCTTCACCTCGTGGGACCCCAGGCAGTACGTGTGGGGCGGGGGTGGGCAGACCCCTCTCTGCCTGGGGCCCCCTGTGGGGCAGCGTCCAACCCGATGCTGCCCTCCTACTGCCCACTCCGCGCCTGGCCTCCGTTACCCCACTTTCTGCCCCTCCCCCAGCCTCTGACCCCAGTTCCTGGGTTTTTCCAAGAACTGCGCAGCTTGGAATCCGCCTGGGAGGCCACCACGGTCCAGGAGGGGGGAGGGGGGCACTGACCCCTTGTCTGCTCTGCGACCCCTTGTCCGCTCTGCAAGCCTGCCCGGTGCTCTTGGGTCCTGGGAAACGGCCCCTCTTCTCCCATTCTGGGGCCAGTGGCCTGTCCTTGGGGTCGCTGCTATTTCTGCCGGAGGGGAGAGGTAATTATAGCTCAGCCCTTGCCAGCTGGCTGAGCCCTGCATCCGGGGAGAGGGGCCTGGGGCGGGGACGCAGGCAGCCACAGGTCAGCCCTGCAGGCTGGTGGCGGTACCGCAGATCGGAGCCGGGGCTGGGCAGGTGCAGCCTGTCCGCCTGTGGGGCTCGGCACACACCTCTCGGGGGCAGGAGGGGGTCTCCCTTTGAGACCAGGCCAGGATTGGGCTGGACTGTGCCCACTGGGGGGCGCCACAGAGCTTGAGCGTCACTGTCCCTCACGGACCCAGCGAGGAGCCAGGTGAGACCCCACTCGGAAGCAGGGAGGCGCCCAATTCCCACTGTGGGAGGAAGCCCCTGTCAGGCGTGGACAGAGGCCAGGCAGAGGGCGCTCCGTGGCCCTGGTGGGGGCTGGGAGTGAGGGGCTGCCCTTCCCTGTCGCCCAGGGCGTCAGCCGCCAGGGCTAAAACGGGCACAGTCCCCAGCAAACCAGGGTGGTGGGCAGCCCCTGGAGACCCAGCCCCGTGAAGCTGGCGTCCCGTCTACAGGGTGGGGGCGGCCAGTGCCCTTGGCGACTTCCCGGCCCAGATGCCTCAAGCCCTCCCCGGGCGGCCAGGCCCAAACCCAGGGCCCCGTCGGCCCCTCACCCAACCCCTGCCTGAGGCCCAATCCCACCCCAGAAGCTGGAGTGCAGCTCTCTCCCACTTCGCCACACAGTGAGCCAAGTCAGCCCCTTCAGAAGCCACCAGCAGCCAGGGTCCCAGGCCAGGGCAGCAGGCCTGAGAGGCGGAGGGGTCCTGGGAAGGCGCTGATCCCTCTGGGGGCTGCAGGGCCCGGAGTCTGCACGGCAGAGTCTGCCTGGGGCTCAGGAGGCCAAGGTCGGCCGCGTCCCACTCAAGGGCGTCCCCCGCCCCCAGCGGACATGCGGCCACCACCCAGCCCACTGCCGCCCCATGTCTGAACTGCACTCCAGGCTGCACACGGTGGCGAGGGCAGGGGCCCCAGGGCCGAGGGCCAGCCCCTGTGGGAGCTGCCCGCCCGACACTCCCCCTCGGGGCCCCCAGGAGCCCTTCTCTTGCCCAACTCAGAACCACGAGTTGCCTGGAGAACTTCCAGCCTCTTCACTGGCCCCCGAGGGAGGGCACGTGGGGGTGTCCACAGCTCCCTCCCCCCGTCCAGCTGGGACAAGGGGCAGCCTCAGCCCCTCTGGTTCAGCCAGGCTGCCCAGGACCGACGCCTGGCCTCCGGGAGGTCAGACGCTGCCCGGAGCCCCCGGATCCCCCATGACAGCCTCTTCCGGAGCTGGCCGGGCCTCAGGGCGGCTCGGGCCGTAATGGGATCTTCTCGGCTGGCGCGTGCGCTGCAACGGCTCCGGTTCCCACCTCGCTCGAGGCTCTGACGCCCCCGCTCCTGCCGGCAGGCGGGCAGCTCACACGGAGGAGCGGCACCTGCAGCAGCCCAGGTAGGGCGGGGCGGCGCCTGTGTGCGCGCGTGAGTGTGTGCATGTGTGTTTACGGGGGTGTGAGTGGGGCCCCATGAGCTGTGGCCTCTCCCGGTCGAGGTCCTGGCACGGTTTCTCCCATGTCACCAGCCCAGGTGCCTCTGGAGGCGGTGTCGCAGGTGACCGGACAGCAGGGGGGGCCTGGCCGGCACTCTGTGGGACCTGGTGGGTAGGTGAGACCCTCAGCCTCCACCAGGTCCTCTGCTCCTGAGCCCAAAGGCCTCATGGGTCGGTGGGCAAAGTGCAGGGTTGGAGAGGTGGTTGGGAGGGCGTGGTCGCTGACCCGCCACCAGCCCCAGGGCCAGCTCAGAGGAGGGACCCCTCCCCATGCAGGGCAGGCGCTGTGCAGGGGTCTCAGAGGGACCCTCGGTGAAGATGAAGACAGACTAACAGGCCGTGGTGTGGGTGATGGGCAGTCAGGGGCCAGCAGAGCACCTGGTTGGGGGCCAAAGGAGGTCACAGCCTGCTGAGAGGAGGCAGGGGGCCCCGAGGCTGGGGTCCCGGAGCCATGGGGCCGGGTGGGGGGCAGGAGAGGTAGCCGGGTCCCTGTCCTGGCGTTACCTGAGGTGTTGAACCAGGTGCAGACAGGCCCGGCCTTCCTCACACCCCCCGGGGGCTGATGGGGGCTGATGAGAGCGGCGGGCCGGGGAGCAGAGCCAGGCTGGAGAGACAGACCGGGGTACTTTGGGCCCCAGGGGTCTCACCACCATCTCCCAAAGGCTTTGAGTCGAGGTTGGGGACTCTGGGCCAAACTCCACAGACCGCTGGCGTGTTGTGGAGGCGTGGCCTTGGCCGGACCTCCGCTCCTGGAAAGGGCTGGGAGCCAGGGCCCTCTGTCCCCCCAGGGGCAGAAGGGTGTCCCCAGGGGGCGCGGCCTCTCCAGCCAGGGCAGGCCCAGGCCCGACACAGGGCAGGCCCTGGGCCAGGAGCTATTTTCCGCCCTTTATCACCCATCTGTCAGGAGCTGGCCTCTGAGCAGAGGGCACTCGGGTTACACAGCGTCCCTGCCAGAGTCCCCGCCCCCCCAACGCAGGGCCCTGACCGAGGGCGGTGCTGGGCAGACGGCGGCCGTATAGGGAGCAGCCTGCGCTTCCCTGGCCCACCCTGTTTCTGGTGGGGAAACTGAGGCCCAGAGCCGTCAGCCCAATGACTCAGGCCGCACAGAAGGGCAGAGCCCAGGTCGCAGCAGAGGTTCTGCAGGTGCACGCAGGGCCCAGCTGCGGGGGCGGGGCAGGCAGTCCCAGGTGCACAGAGTCACACCCCGTCCCTGAGTGGTGACAGTGATGGCTTTGTCACCAACACAGGCTCGGTCCCAGACCTGCGTCTGAGCCCTCAGCACGAGCCACTTCCTCTCCCGCTCCAGAGCCCACGAGGGGTCGCTGCTGTTATTCCCACTTTACAGCTGGGCAGACTGAGGCACAGAGAGGTCAGGGGCCACCCACGGAGAGGTCAGGGGCCGCCCACGGCCACGCGCGGGCACACGACACAGGCGATGGAGCCGGCTGGGCCCACCAGGCTGCCTGGCCCAGAGCCTCTGAGCGACTCTGCCCCGTCACTGCCAAGGATACAGACGAGCACACTGCAGGGTCACACACATGCCACACACGTGCACACACACATGCACACCCAGCTCACACACATGCACACATGTACATACAGGCACCCCACACTCACACACATAGACGCAAACACTGAGTGGTCCTCACACAGACACACACTCATGTACATGCACATATACTTGTGGACAGTCGGCGTGTGCACACTCTCACACGTGCACAAACACATGTGCTCCCACGTGTGCACACTCACCTGTTGCTGTCCCCCCACCCCCAGGCAGGGCTCCACACCTGGGTGCGGCTGGCAGGGCTGCCGGGGGTCGGCCATGCAGGTCCCGGTGTGGCTCTGAGCCCCGTCTGCGGGTCCCCAGCCTTCAGACCGCTGGCGGCCCCACTGCCCCCCCCACCCTCCCCGCTGAGCCAGCCGGCCCTTGGGCCTGCCTTCGGCTCCTCTGCCCCAGGTGTCCCCTGGGGGGTGGGGGCCACTCAGGAGGGAGCAGCTTCCCCTCCTGGAGCGTCATCCCACGGTGACGGGGCCTGTGTTTCTCCCAGGGCCATGTGCAGTCCATGAGGGCAGCCTCGAGAGCCTGGAGCCCCGACTCCCGGCCAGAGACGCGACGGCAGACCAGGAAGAATGTGGCAGCCACTCCGGGCTCACCAACGCCCGAGGCAGGGAGGGTAAGGCTGCGGTCCCGGGTAGGCCTCGGTCCCCAGCCCCAGGACTCCCGGGGGTAGAAAGTGTGGGGTGAGGGGTGGGACACAGCATGGTGGGGGCGGTAACAGTGGGTGTCCAGAGGGCAGCGGGGGCCATGGAGGGCGCTGGAGCGGGGCGTGGTATCAGGGTGCCTCTCGGGCACGGCCACCCTGGCGGCTCAGGGAGGAGGGTGCAGCGGGGACAGGCGGTGGGGCCCCAATGACCAGCGAGGCAGTCAGGGGGCAACTGGGAGGGTCTGGACCTGGGACAGAGGGAAGAAGTGGGGTCTCTCCGTGGACAGAGTCCTGGTCTGGGCTCACTGCCAGGCCCTGGGCGCCGACGTCCAGCTAAGGGGCCGGGAGTGAGCCACGACGCGGGTCCCCAGCCCAAGCAGGCTGATCACCCCCAGAAGGCCAGCCGCAGGCTCCAGAGCTGTTCGGTAACGGCCACTCTACCTCCCAGGGCCACACTGAGAGTGTGGGAGCCCCTGATGGGAGGCCCTGCCCTCCTGCCCGTGCTCACAGCCCCTGCCTTGTCCAGGGGACAGTGACTCAGGCCCAGTGTGGGACTCAGAGGGCACTGAGCTGGGGCAGGGTGGGCTTGGGGCTGGGCCTCACCCCCAGTGTCGGGCAGAGGCCCCCGTGCAGGCTCCACATGTGGGAACGTGCGGCTGGAGCATGAGGACAGCCCTCGGGGCGCTAGTGACTGCCACCCTCGTTGTCATTACTGACACGTGTCATTACTGACTATTACGGACCCATCAGGAGACACGGCCTCCTGGTCCTGAGTGGGGCAGGGGTGCCGAGGCCCAGTCTGCAGGGGTCCCCATGGCCCTCCCGGTTCCTGCTGAGGGTCTGGCTGCAGGGATCCTAGCAGAACAGCCTCCAGGGGGCGGAGTGGGGGCTCACTTCCACCGACCTCCCTCTGCTCCCCACCCTCGCCCCAGGAGGGCGACAGGAAGTGCCCCCCCTCGATCCTGAGGCGAAGCCAGACGGAGCGTCCTGGCTGCAGGGCCGAGTCGCTGAGGACCTCGAAGCGTGTGAGGTTCCAGGAGCCCGTGGAGGCGGCAGTCCACTGTAAGGGGCGCGGGGCGCGCGGCCTGGCGACGTGGGGTGGTCCAGGCTCGGGGTCCCCCGAGGCAGCCTGCGGGGCGCGTGCCCAGCTCCCCGGGTTTGCAGAGGAGACTTTCTGCCGTGGCGGAGCTCAGGGCAGCCACACCTTTGAGGCCTGCGGTCCACTCTCCCCTCCACCAGACCCTTCTCTGAAAACTCACCTGGGTGGGTCGGACCCGCCGGAGCTGGCCTCCCTTTCGGGTTGCCTCAGAGCCACCCGGGGATCCCGTGACATGGGCTCGTGGGTGGAGGGGAGCTGCGGCCCCTGTGCTGAGGGGAGGGGGCCCCCAGGGACACCTCAGATTCTGCTGCCACAGCCCCCCGAGAAAGTGCTTCACGAGCCCCACGAAGCTCTGGGTAGAAGTCACAGCCCCGACCGGGGGCAGGGTCTCCCCTGTGTTCCCTGCGAACTCCCACCTGCTCCGTCCACACCCACAGAAGGGTCACGCCTCGCCCTCCCCCACCACCCGCCCCCGCAGCTGGGGAGGCTCTGCAGACAGGAAACCAGGGTGCAGACATTCCGAGGGGGGCTGGTGCCCCCCAAGTGAGCTGTGGGGGCTGGACAGGAAGGGGGTCCTGGCCTACCCTCCTCAGGAGCCCGCCCTGCCTCCCCGGGCCCCCACTCCCGCAGGCTCTGGGAGCAGTGCCCGGCTTCTTGGTGCCCCACTTTCCGGCCTGAACTTGCAGCAGCGGGGCCGGGCCGAACCCCGGGTGGGACAGACAGACTGGCCAGTGGGAAGCACGGACAGCCTGGGCCTCCCATCTGTCAAGCTGGGTGGTGTGGGTACTGTGGGTGGGGGAGGAGCCCTGGGGTGCTGGCGAGCTCAGTGCCCCCCGCAGGGGCCCTCACTGCAAGCCCACCCTCAGTTCTCCTCCCCAGACATCGCCGGCAGGGAGCCCACACCCGCCACCAAGGGTGAGTTCTGAGCCCTCCTCCACTGCCCCCAGGGCCCTCGGCACCCCCCCCCCACAGTGCCAGTGCCGCCCCAGCCTTGGCCGCCCTTAGACACACCCGACAGAGGCCCGGGCAGGGATGGGGGGACCCCTGCCCTCCATGGGGACTATGGGGTCACCCCAGGGCAGAGCCGTGGTGCCACCCGCCCTCCCTGCAGCTCACCCCAGCAGCCCAGGGAAGAGGGAGCCTGGGTGCCCTGGGGCGGGGCCTGTGGGCTGCAGCTCATAGGCCTGCTTTGGCCCCCAGCACCCCGCCGACCCGGGCCCCACGCCCGCCCCCTGCTCCTGGGACTGTCCCTGTGCCTGCTGCTGGCGCTGCTGCTCGGCCTGTGCTGCGGCCGCCCCGGGCCCGTCGCACTGGCCCTGGAGAACCTGCGGGCCCGGCTCCTCGCTCTCGCCCTGCACCTGCGGCACGCGGTCCTCGCCTGCTGGCACTGCCTGCGGCCTCTGTGACCCCAGCGACGCCAGGGGCCCTGTGGGCGGGGTCCCGGGAGCCACGGAGGGTCTGGAGCAGCGCGGGGTGAACCCGGAGCTCAGGGGGCTGCAGGCGGGGGCCCGAGGCCTGGAGACCAGACACAGGATACGCATTCCCTGCAATCGGCACAGTGCAGGCCGGGGCCCACGGGACGCTTCCTGAGGAGCAGGGCTCCACTTCCAAATCTCGGGGTCCCCAGGGCCCCTCTGGCTTCTCTGGGATCCCAAAGCGGGAGGAGGCCCCCGTGGTCTAGAGGGGACCCTCCAGCATCTCGGGCCCCCCACACCAGCCCAGGACTTCTCTCATCTGCCCAAACCCCACCCTGAGAGGACAGGCGGGTTGTGCCCCGTGTTCCAGATGAGCAAACAGGGGCTCCGAGAGGCCAGGTCACGTGCCCAAGTCATAGCGAGCACAGGCCCCGGCTTGGCCCTGCAGCCCGGTCCTGTCCAGGGACCACGCCTGTGGGGGGGGTGAGGGGGCCACGATCACGACTAAAGGCTGGTCACCAGGAAAGCCAGGCAGAGACCTGCTGGAGATGCAGGTCCAGACAACGACCTGGCGGAAAAGTCACTGGAGGTGGACACTGTCAGCCTGAGAAATGAAGGCGCCATCCATCCGTCCAAAGCCACACAGGGCGCCGTGGGAAGGCCGCCCCCAGGAGCGTGCAGATGAGGGGGGCCGGGGAGGACGGGGGTGGATCCGGGCGGTGCTCACCCTCGAGTGAGGAGAGTTTCGTGGCTGACAGGTGAGCTCAAATGCATCCATGCGAGTCACTCTGGTCTTTCTATTTTTATTTGACTTTGAGAAATAAACACACTTAGGGATCTTTACTTTCAGTGTGGCCACAGGTGAAGTTAAAACACAATGTCGTCACCACGCAGCGGGGAAAGCGATGGGGGGCCCCGTGTCAGGAGCCCCCGAAGCCCGGACGTCAGGAGGCGCCCGTGGCAGCCGGCCCAAGACCGGCCAGGGTGTGTGTCCATGACAACCCGCTCTGCAAGGGACCTGCAGGAAGTGGACACAGGCCTCCGCAGGCTGGACTGAGGGGCGGCCCCAAACCAGCTCCAGGCAGCCTGCAGTGCGGACCCAAATCTCTGGTGCACTGGGGCCCCTCAGACTCCAGAAGCCCCTGCGTCTCCTCCCGGCCCAGCGGGCTGCTGCCTGGGGTGGGGCCCCGCAGAGGGCCCCCGGGCTGCCCAGCTGGGCCGGCAAGACCAGATCAGCTCGGGGGCCTCGGGTTCTGCCAACACACCTCCCCTACGCTGTGGATCCGCCCCTCAGCTTGGAATCAGGCCACATCTGGGGCCAGAGTACCTCTGCCACACCAGGACCCTCAGCGGCCTGGCCACGACCTCGCCCAGGATGCGAGCCAGTGTGGCAGTGTCACTCACGGCCAGTGGCCTGCCACCTCGCTTCCTGGCCCCGTCTGTCCACAGCCCCTGCCTGCACCTCAATCCTGGCCCAGATCCCAGCCTCCGAGGCCCGTGCCCCTGGCTGGGAGACAGTCCAGTCACTGGCAGTGAGAGCCCGGTCATGGGGAGTGGGGTCGCCCTCCCCGAAGGGTGGGGGCGGCAGGGAAGCAAGCTTTGCAGCTGGAGGGCAGCTTGGGGGGCTAGCGCGGCTTTGAGAGTGGGGGTGGGGTGCTCTTACACCTTGGGTGCCCCCTCCTGGACAGGACACGGTGGACGGGGTACAGGTGGGGAGCCGGGAGCCCCTCAAGGAGGAGTCCACAGCCCAGCTGCCCCACCTGCCGCCACGTGGGCAGCGTCATGCCCTCTGGGGCCTCGGGGCCTCTGCTGGGGAAGCGGAGCCCACCCAGGGTACAGGGCGCCAGCTCCCTGTGGAGGGAGGTGCAGAGGAGCTGCCCAGGGCGCTCCCTGCCTCACCTGCCCTGGCCTTGGCCCGCCACTCCTTGTGCACACACACACTCACATGTCTGCACACGTACACTTGTGTGCGTGCAGTTGCCTCCACAGGCTTGCACATTTTGCGTGCTCACCCACACTTGCGCACACTCATTCATATGCACACATACAGCTGTGTATGGGCATGCTCTCATGTGCTTGCACTCTCACACGTGCACACTCACACCCTCACGTGCACACTCAGACACCTGCAGGGCACCGGCCCAGCCCCCACACAAGGAGACAAGCGCCAGGCTGGGCCGCCCCGGCCCCCACACCAGGCACGACAGCTGCTCCCCAGGACACCCACACAGGCCCGCACAGCCATCCTGCACTTCTGATGCTTCAACCTACAGACACACGGGCAGAGCCTGGACCTGGTGGCCAGAGGGGGCAGAGAGGCCGGCCACCCTCTAGCAGCCTTGCCACCCAGGTCCCCCCAAGCAGCCCCACCCGGTCAGCCACCGCGGTCACAGTGGGAATTGAGGTGTTTGGGGGAGCAGCTACTCATGATGCGGGGGGAGACATGCAAGGCAGTGAAGGTGGGATGGGGGCCCAGGCCGACGCCCCGCCGTGGCCCGGGGACAGGGCGTGTGCCCCGGGCGGCGGGGACGCCTAGATGACGGCGCTCTTCTCCTCCTGGAAGAGGGCGCGGTCGGACCGGGCCAGCAGCAGCTCCTTCTCGTGGGCCAGGCTGTCCAGCAGGGCCTCCTCCCGGCAGCTGCGGTAGACCCTCACGAAGGCCATGACGGTGAGGATCAGCCAGGCCAGCCAGGCGCCCCAGAGGCCCAGCTGCACAGAGAGCGAAGGGCAGGGAGGGTCAGGGCCAGCCAGACCCAGGGGCCACCGCTCCCAGCACCCACCCACCCAGCCCCTGGGGAAAGGGCGGCACCTGCTGGGAAAGCAGCAGGGACGCTCGGGGGACAAAGACAGGGTCAAGCTCCAGGGCGGGAGGCAACCTTTGGCTTCCCAGCCCCACACGGTGCAGGTACTATGGGGACTCTGCCCGCTCTGCCCTCACCCAGGCCGGCTGGCCCCTCCGCTGGCCCCTCGGCCAGACTCGGCCTCCCAGATCCGAAGACGGCCAGTCCCTGAGGGAGCCTGCTGCTAGAACAAACTGACCTTTGGCAGCTGCCTCCAAACAGTCGAAGGGGAGCTGGCGAATCGGAACCAGGCCTGAGCCGGGTCAAGCAGCCCTCACGGGGGCTGTCTGCTGTCCCCACCCCCTGGCTCCCCCTCAACCTAACTGCCCGGGACGAGGGCTGAAGCTTTCCCGCTAGGTTTCCCGAAGGTGCATCTGGCAGGTTCAGCTCCTCTCTGCACAGAGCCCTCAACCCACCGACGTCCAGAGCAGCCCCTGGACAGCATGGGGCTGCACAGCCAGTCTGGGGCAGGAGGCGACCTGGGGTCTGGGGAGCTCTGCTCGGTGCTGGCAGAGGCTGCCCCTACCCTGTTGCCCCCTCGTCTGGCTCATCCATGTCCTCCCCAGGGGACAGACACAGGGGCCAGGCACAGGCCGTCGCTGGCCACCGACATGTCCAGATGAGCCTGTGTTCCAGCAAATGCTGTCCCCAGAGTCCACCATGGTCTCCTGGAGGGCAGGGCAGCGCAGGCCTCCCCCCCTCCCACCTGGAACCTGCCCACACGGCAGCCCCGCCCACCTGGGCAATGGCAAACTGGTCGTAGAAGGCAGAGTTGTCAACATCCAGCTCCAAGTCGATGCCCTGGAGGTCCTCACAGCTGAAATGGCAAGGCCCAGAGCGGGAAGGTGACTGTCAGGCCACCAAGCACAAAAAGGGCAGCAGGCAGCACCCCAAAGGGCCAGAGGGGGCAGCTGTCCCCAAGGTGGGGTAGACGGGAGCCTCAGTGCTTGAAAACCCGGCCCCAACCCGGCCCAGGACGGTGGGGCACCCACACCAGCCTCTGCTGCCCTGGGGCCCCACTGCCCCACAGGGTGGGCCGGGGCAGGGTGGACCACCAGGCCCAAGGGACACCACAAACCCCGCCCATGGGCAGCGGGGCCGGGCCTGGCCCCAGGGGCCCCAGGCTGGCTGAGATGTCAGGAGGCAGGGCCTGAGCCCCGGGGGAGGGGTCCAGAGGCCCGGGCTCGCCCGGACGGCGGTGGCTGGGGGCGAAGGGCAGGAACTGTCACGCCCTCCCCTGCTGTGAGCCGTGGGCTGCACCCAGGGCCAGGGCCAGGGTGCAGGGTGGGCAGAGGAGGGGCCCTGCGCTCCGGCCCCTCCTGCACGTTGGGGCCCCAGGTCTGATTTTGCTACAACAGACCACCTGGAGCACCTGGGTAAGGTGAGCCCAGGGCACTGGGCAGTGGGTAGCCCCCTCTGAGAGTGGGGCAGTCACCCTGCTCCATCAGGGACCCCCAAGCCAGGCACTGCCCCCTGCTCAGGGCCCCAGGTGACCACTCGGTCCCCAACCCACTCCAACCGGCAGCTTTGCTCCTGTTCCCCACCCTCCTGCCACCTTCCGAACCCCTCCCAGACGGGGCCTCTGCCTGCACTGCCGGAACACACCTGGGCTTCCCGGACCTGGAGCCCACCTGGGGAGTCCTGTCACCCCACCGTACCCCAGACATGACTGGGCCACGGGGAGCTCTGACCTCCCGGCCCGCCACCCCCACCCAGAGCCACCCAGGGGGCAGGGGGCCCCGCTCTGAGGGAAGCTGCCTGGGTTGCAGGGCAGAAGGCAGGTCCCAGGGAAGGAGCGAGCAGGCAAGGCGCAGGTGTGCACAGGTGTGGGTGCAGGTGTGCACAGGTGTGGGCGCAGGTGGGAGGAGCAGAGCCGCTGCATGGGCCGGGACTTGCACACGGAGGGGCCCGCTAGGAGTCCCAGGGAGGGCCCAGGGCGCACCTGCGGGGCACGGTGCCCCTCTCCGTGACAGCATCACACCACAGGGTGAAGCCCACGCTCACGATGGTGCTGGAGATGAAGACGAGGAAGACCACGAAGGCGTTGACCAGCAGGTTCAGGAGGGAGTAAAGGAAGGAGCTGCAGGAGGGACAGCACAGGTGGGTCACCAGCCCCGTCCCTGGGCCCTGCACCTGGGGCAGCCCCCAACCTCGGGGGAGCGGGGCTGGGAACAGCTTGTCCTCACCCCGCAGTGCCCCAGGCTGCCCACCCCCATCCTCCCAGAGACCCACCCGCCGCCCTTCAGCAAGGCGGCCGAGACCTCAGCCTGCCCACACACTGAAAGGCGGAGACGCCCCACGGCCACCAGTGTGGCCGGTGGAGCCTTGCACGAGCAGCTTGCCACCTGACCTGCTCTGATGTTCCACTGAAACTGAAGACCAGGGACCGTGCGGCTGAAACACCCCCACCAGCCTCGCCTGCACCCCGCAAGCACCCAGGGAGATGGGGGACCGTCCCACGGGGGACCGGAGCAGTGTCTGGCTCAGGAGGGACAGCCCAGGCCCTGCTCTCGCCTGCTGGCAGGTGAGATACGAACACAAGCCTGTCACACGTGGTCTGAGGAAAATGACGCACTTCACGGGGGATGTTTACTAAAAAGGTCTCGGCCGGGCTCAGCCCCAAAACCCAGGCTGCTGCCGCGCAGTGGGGACTGTGGACCGAGGCAGGATCCAGGCCCATTCGTTCCAACCACCCTCTGGGCCTCGGTTCCCCCTTTGAACTGGGTCTCGAGAGCCCCCCACTGCGTCCCTGTGGAGTGGAGGGAGGGCCGTGTGGCTGAGGGACAAGGCTCCGCAGCCTTGGGTGTGGGGCGCACTCTGTCCACCCCCGCCCTCGGGGCTGAGCAGGCCTCCTGCTCTCTCCGACGTGTGTGCTGTGTGTGCTGGGAGCTCTGGGCCGGGGGCTGGGCCCTAGCTGCCACTGGAGCTGGGGGCGAGGGACATGGGTGGAGAGGCTGCTGAGTCACCACCAGAACCAGACGCCCGGAGCCCGAGCCTGCAGCTGGGGGCCAGGAGTGGGGGCTGTGGTGTGGGGGGAGGGGGAGGGGTGTAGGGCGGCCCCGCCCGCTGGAGCTGGTGCTCAGAGGGCAGCAGAGGGTCCCACCACCCACAGCAGCAGCTGAGTCTCCGATGGCCGATCCACTCCAGCCAAGGACCTGGTGGTCCCGGGGCCCCTGGCGGGTCCAAGACGCCGCCGCCCCATCCACCTCTGAGGCCCATGTTCAGCACAAGTGCCCATCGCAGAGACCCCAGCCCTTCCCTGTGAAACAGGCACCATCTGGGCTCCCCCACGACCAGACCCGGGAGACCCCAGCCCACGAGACCCCAGAGCCGCCTCCCACTCCTCTCGTCCATTCCTGGTCGCTTTCCTTGAAGCCCGCCAGGTTCTACGGATACTGGAGGGTTAGGGGCTGTCCAGAGTCTCAGGGGCCCCAGACCCACCCCTCCCCCTTCCCCAGGACCGGCCAGAGCGGTGGGCGGGATGGAGCCGCTCTCACAGGGTTAAAAAGCCGTCTCTCTCCTGGAGCCTCTCAGGGAGAGGATGTGCCGTCTCCATGGTGACGGCATCCGGAAGCCCTGGGAGGCTGTGGTGGGCAGATGGGCTGTTTTAACCCAGTGCCCCCCAGCTGTCAATCACAACCCCCCTCCCCGCCACCCCCACCACCACCTGGACACTCGCAGGGCTCCACCCAGACAAAGCTGCCCTGGCCCCCCTCCCCCGGACTGCGGTCCAGCCGCAGCCTGTGCCTCTGCCCTGAAACCGTGAGCCCCGCCCATTCCTGCAGTCAGCGGCCAGGTGTCCTGCGCAGAAAGCCGCTTTGTACAGTTCTGGGCACAAACTGTCAGGCCCCCACTTTGCGTGGGGACACGCTGGCCCCACAGACAGCGTCTGACCCACGTTGGTGGGGGCCCTGGCTCATCTGTGAAGCTGGACTCCCAGGTAATCAGTGTGTGCGCGGACCCTCTAAAATCCCGTGTGTGTTGGGGCCGCAGTGTCCTGGTGGGCAGGCCCTGCAGGACTGTCGATGGCTCGGAGGGCCCTGGTAGGTCCCAAGTGCACTCCACGGCCCCCCCGGCCGGCCCCGGGCAGGCCCAGCTCCTGCTCACCTGGTCTGCACAGATCGACCAGGCACTGAGCTGGAACTGACCTCCGGGTGACCCCTCGCCTGTGGCCAGACCAGGCCGACCCCGCCTTCCGGGGGGTCCAGAACTCACTGACACAGCAAGCCTTGGCTTCGCGGCCAGACTTAGAATCTGGGGGGACGCCAGGGCCAGGCGAGTGGCCGTGAGCAGCAGGGCTCAGGATGCAGGCCTCTCTCTGTTCACTCGGCAGATGCCAACGGGGCGACCCCGGGCACCCTGCCCTGTGCTCCGCCTGAGCACATGGAGGGGACAAGAGGCACACCCCCCTGGGGTCCGCCCAGCCCCCCAAGGGAGGGCCGTGGCCTGAGAGCCCTGCCCGAACCCCACAGCCAGAGCAGGGACGAGGGCGCTGTCACAGTGAACCCACAGCCCACGGGCTGCAGCGGACGGCGTGGGGCCGTGGACGGTCACCGCAGATGGTCAAGGACACCTGGAGAAGGGGACGTCTCTGGAGAAGAGAAAGCTGGCCCCACCTTGGCTGCCACGTTCGCAGCCCGGACTGCAGTCTCTGGTGGTGGGACAGGTGGGCCCCAGGCAGTTGCAGAGGGAGAAGACCCGGAATGTCCCTCCACCCAGACCACACCCGGGGCACCGAGTGCCCTGTCCTGGGTGGATGAGCACGATGAGGGGGCACGGGAAACCCCGAGCCCCCACTTTCTATCTCTAAAATGGGGGCGGTGCCCCGGTCAGTGTGGCTCAGTGGGTTGCAGATCATTCTGCACACTGAAAGGTCGCCAGTTCAATTCCCAGTCAGGGCACGTGCCTGGGGTGTGAGTTCGGTCCCCAGTCGGGCACATTCGAGAGACGGGGTGAGTGTGAGCAGCAACTGACGATCAATGTCTCTCTGTTCCTCCCTTCTGCTCTCCCTGAGCAAGCCCGTGGGCAAGGAGAGAGAAATTAAAAACTAAAGCGGGAGCGGCGATGGCAGCCCCAGAGAGCTGACGGCAACTTTCTGCAGGACGACAAAGGTCAGAGCCGTCGTCACCAGCTCCCGGGTCTGCTGTCCTGTGGGGGGGGGGGACAGCAGCCCAGCGTGACCAGGACTCCTGTCCCCCCGGCTCGCTGCTGCCCTGCCGCCCCTGCCTCTGGAGGCCTGTGCCGGCTCTGAAGTCGCCTCCCTCTCAGCCCCGCGGGCTGGGCTCCACCTGGAGAGCCGCTCCGTCCGTGTCAGCTGACCCTGAGTGCCTCGCCTCGTGGGGACGGCTGAACAGGACCCCTCAGGAGCTGTGCCCGCTGCCCTCAGCTCCCCAGACCCAAGGGACCTCGACCTGCGCCCCTCTGTCCCTCAGACCCCGTCTCATACTCAGAGATGCTCCTCGGGCCACCTGGATGAGGACGCTGACTGGGGAGCCAGCTGCTCAGGGCAGCGTGGGGGCGATGACCCGGGCTCACCCCAGGCAGAGCACCCTGGGGCCTCCCCAGGCTGACCTCAAATCTGGAACCTTAGTGCATCAGGCTGAACTGTGTCCCCGACCACGTGTCCAAGTCCTCGCCCCACTGCCTGCGGGTGTGACCTTATTAGGAAATGGGCTCTTTACAGGTGTCACGACGCTGAAGATCTGCAAATGACGTCAGCCTGGAAGTGGGTGGGCCCCTCAGCCAATGAGGGAGGCCCTTGCAGGAGCGTAAGAGACAGGAGCGGAGGCGTATGGCGGCTGACTCAGAGGCTGGGGGGACAGGACGGGGGGTGAAACCCCAGCCCTGGAACAGCCGCCAGAAGCTAGGGTGGGGGAGGGGACTCTCCTGCAGTGGGGACCAGCCCTGCTGACACCTGGGCTTTGGGCCCCCGGGGCCTCCAGTACTGGGAGGCAGGGGCTTCATGGTTGTAGCAGCCCTGGGAAACCATGCACAGGGGTCGCCAAGATTTCGCCCTCTCCCAGCCCCCCCCCCAAGGTGAATAACACCCACTGCTCCCCACACAGTGCCAGGGCGGGGCGGTGAGGAAGGGGTGGTGGCCGGAGGGAGGAGGGGAGGCTGGGGAGAGCGAAGCCAGGCCTGGCACAGGGGTTCTGGTCCAATACCCCCAGCCAAGGACTTGAGGGGCTTCCTTCCAGAACTCTCCCCCCCGCTGCCATCAGCCCTCCCGGGACGACGGGGGCGAGGGGAGGACTCCCTGGTACCCTATGTCACACGGGGCCTGTCCTGGTCCCCCCCACACACACACACCCACCGGGGACAGAGCACAGGCCCAGGCCCTGGAGCTGTCCGCAGTGCTGACGTGTGCGGCTGGGGCGCTCAGGAAGACAGTGCCAGGTCTACACCCTCGGGGGGCTGGGTGGAGAGCCAAATGCCCAAGTGCCAGGAGCGGGGGTGATGCGCATTTCGAGAAGGCCGCGCTGGCATCATACGCAGTACGCGTGAGCCGCGCGGCCCGGGCTCTGCGCCTAGACAAAGGGCCGAGCTGGGGAAAATGCTAAGGGCCCGGGGCTGACGGGGGAAGGGGAGAGCCTGGGGCGCGTGGGCGAGGGCTGTGTGGGCAGGGGGCGCCGGGTGCCCACTTACCCCTCGTAGCCCTTGCAGAGGAAGAAGAGCGTGCGCCAGGCGTGGCCCGCGGCGACCACCAGCGAGAGGAGACTGATGAGCAGGCTGAAGCGGCAGGCGGCGGGCGGGCCCCACTGCTGCACCGTGAAGCGCTCGCGCCCCTGCACCGTCATGTTGGCGCTCAGCCACATGCCCTCCGTGAAGAGCAGGCAGCGGCCGCGGAAGTCGTGGCCGTTCTCGAACAGCGGCACCACCACCACGAAGCTGAAGACGAAGGCCAGGAAGTAGCAGACGCACTGCGCGAGGTGGAAGCGGCTGAACGCCATGGCGCGGGGAGGCTGCGGGCCGGGACCGCGAGGCACCCAGCGCTGCGCGCAGGCTGACCGGGGCCGCGCGGGAGGCTGCGCAGTGACGGCGCCAGCGGAGCTGCGCGCCCCCGCCCGCTTTGCTTGCGCAGCGGCCGAAGGCGGGCCGCGCCTGGGTCAGCACCACGGACAGCTGCTGGGCGGGGACGCGCGGGGACAGGGCGTGGGTGTGGGCCGGGGAGAGGGTGCCCGGATAGAGATGCGGCATGGAAACCGGAAGAGGGAACGGGATTGATGGTAGATCAGCTTCTCTGTGCCCTGTTCTGTGCCCGATTCTGTGCCATCGGTACCAAGGGCTGCCTGCGTGGGGCCTGTCCGCGCTGGTTCTGTGTCCCTAGGTCCCCGTGAACTTAAATTAAGGAAAGACGCCTGGGAGAGACAGGTCCTGGAGGGCCCGGGCAAGGTGGTACAGTGCAGGTGGCAGTGAGGTTTGCAGTCCAGACCAGCTGAGTTCTGGAGCAAGAAGTATGGGGCAAGGAGGACAGGGAGCAGGGGGCTGGGGTCAGTGTCCCCACGGAGGGACAGAGCGAGGCGAGGCCTGGACGTGGGGAGGAGGGAGCGGGTCCGAGCAGGCGGGCCCTCCCTGGGGACAGGAGTTGCAGGTGCAAATGCAGCCCGGAGCTGGTGTTTGAGGGGAATGATGGACGCCCAACACCTCATTAAGACTGCCGCTGCGGAGCCGGAATCTGCGAGTGCATTAATTAATGGAATTAATGTCTTTTCTGGTTCCCTTTAAGGCTCAGTCACGTCGAGTCCAATTCCCAGGGTGGGGAGGACGTGGCTTTGCCTCTTCTAACGGAGACGCCGATCGGTTTAGTGCGGCAGCAGCTTTTTTGTCGCAGGCATGAAAACAGGCTTCCGTCGTGTTGCCAAAGTTACATAAGCTCATCTCTGAAGTCAAGCAGTGCACAGACATTAAAATAGAAGGACAAAGCTCCTTTCTCGACCCGGCCCCCCCACTGTTGACAGTCTGCCGTCCGCTTTGCTGGGCGTGCCACTAATCACATGCGTGTACACGCTCAGTTTACACAGACACCCCACACCGCGCGTGCCGTTGCACACGTGCCATTGCACACGTGCTGTTCCTTTATGTGACTGTGTGGCACAGGGTCGTTCCCCGCCAGCATCCGGCTCTGTCTCGTTTTCCTGCATCGCTGCCTGGAGCACACAAACAAGGGCGACCCCGCAGCTCGCCTGGCCTGGCCTCCTTGCCCAAGGGTCCGATGCCTTCAGCTCTGCTGTTTTGAGTGCCACTGAGGGAACCTCCTTGCACGTCTACCCATGGGCGCCTGGGCGGGCGTTTCTAGTTCGAGCCATAGACATGATCCCTGAACGTACGTCGATTGATCACACCCACTCCACCCGGAGGTGTGTGTCCAACAAGACCTAAGAAGCATCTCATACAATTCGATATCCATTCCTTATTCCTTAAAAGGCTGTGCAAACAGTGAAGAAAGCCGCCAAGATGTGGGAGGGGCGACCTTCCGACATCATCGGAGACCTCCCCCTTTTCGGGTCGCAGGGTTCCCACTCTCATGGCTGTTTGACCTCTGGGCTGGCAGCGTGTGTTCCGGGACAATTCAGTGGCACAGAGCGAGCAGCGTGTCTGTGAGCGCAAGGAGGCAGCGGCGTCTTCCGTGGAAGGCGGTGTGATCACACACCTGAACACTCGGGACACTCCACAGAAAGCTGGAGACCGCAGGAGAGCTTCGCGGGCGGGAGATACATTCAACCCTCCCCCTCACACCGATACGGAAACACACACGGCACGTTTTAAGAGGCCAGAATGCAAAACAAAAATATGTCGATAGGAAGAAATTATGACTTTATTTGCATAACTTTTGGTGACAGTCAGGAACTCCAGTAAAGGAAAAGACTGAAGATTAGACCATTTGAAAACTTACAGTCCTTGGTGGCAAAAAACGCACACGAACGTCGAAGTCAAACAGCAAACCACGTGGGAGAGCGTTTGCGAGCAGAGAGCAGACGCGGTTGGACCCTGTGGGCGGGGAGCCCGCTGGAAAGGGGAGGGACAAGCGGGTGCGGCTCCGCCGTGGAGGTGGCGGTGGGAGTGGGCGCTTGCTGCCTGTGAGGCGAGAAGGTGCAGCAGAAATGAACAGTGAAGAGCGAACGGCCGGGCTTTGACGGCGGTCCCCTCCGCTCCTGGGCCGGAGTCCAGCTGGAGCCGGCGCATGCCGGCACCACGGACAGGGCAGCGCCTGGGGGTCCTGAGGACGGACCACGCCCTGACCCTGCTCTGCGTGTCCCAGGAGCTGTGGCCGGACAGGAACACTTTGCTGTTCAGGGACAGGTGGTGTGAGATGCTTGTGGCAGCAGCTCACTGGCCCCACGTGGAACCAGGCAGGAAGTGCGCTGGGGGCTGGGGGCAGAAATTGTTCCTCCCAGTGGAAGAGCAAGCACCACGGCCCAGCGGGGGCAGAGCGGCAGGTCGGAGCGAAGCGTCACCTGTCACCGAGTTCCGTGTGGAAGGCTGTTTGCAGAGCACCGTGTACAGTGTTCTCCCACTTTTACACGTAAAGAGTCTGGCTGCTTGTCTGAACCACGTGAGCTCCCAGAGACCGACGCTGCCGCCTGGCGAACAGACAGCTGGCCACCTGGGCCCAGGTGCGCCTCCCGCCTCAGGTGTCTCCCACGGCTGGGATTGGGAAGCAAACTCCGGAAGTTCGAGGCAGCCAGGCTGGCGTTTACGGAGCAGCAGGTAACCTGCTGCAGGTGCCAACGGCATGCGCCAGGTGTGCGGGGCTGAAGGAGGCCGTGGGTCTGGCCGGGGTCTGAGAGGACCCAGGAGAGCCGGGCAGGCGGGGGTCGGGAAAGACGTGGAGGGCCGAGGCTGCAGAGCTTTCCGGAGCAGGAGGTCAGGTCAGATCACTCCTGCATGATCACCTGCCCCGGCAGGTAGGGGCAGCGGGACCAGGAGGGGCCGCTGTGGACAGGTTCACCTGCAGGGCGGGGGGGGGTCACTCAGCAGGGAAGGAGCCAGTCTCAGAGGGGCCAGTGCAGAAGGAAGAGGTCAGTGGAGACTCCGAAAACAAACCAGGAAGAGGGAACGTCAGCTCCTCTCCATTTTCTCGGCCCCTGGGGAGGACGGACTCAGGGACCGGTCAGGAGGTGGCTGAGGGCCCTCCGCTGCCCCGCTGCCTCCCTCACTGCGTCCCCCCAGGTGCCACACCACAGGTCCCGCCCCGAGTGCAGGGGGAGGTGAGTGTCCCTCGGAAGGGCTGCCACATGAAGGTGGGCTGCGTGCCCAGGGGACACGTGGGGGACTGAAAAGAAATGATATGTTGGGGGGGGTTGACAAATGGGTGGGTGGGCGGATGGATGACGAGAGGATGGGAGAGGGGCTGGAGGTGAAGGACGACGAACAAAACTGAGGCAGGCAGCAGGGGTGGGGTGGGGGTGCATAGAGGCCGGTGGGTAGCCAGACGGGGGGGGGGCCAGGACTGAGGAGCCTGGCACCGCTGCAGCTGGGCGGGCTCCCCCAGGAGTCCTGCCGAGCCTGGCGTCCACGGCGTGGCCGTCAGCGCCACAGTCTCAGGAACGCTCATTTGTGGTCCAGCAAGCTCTCTGACCAGACTCGGAGGGCCGACACCAAGACCGAGTGTCCACGTCCCGATTTTCCCTGCGAGGTGACCGTCACGGGAAGTGGGCACCAGGCGTCGGAGGCACAGGGCCCCTGCTGCCCATCGGTCCATCCCACTGGGCAGGGCCCCGGGGAGGTGGCGCCGATGGGCAGTGAGAACAGGCGCAGGAGCCTCGGCCCCGTGGTGTTGCAGCTGCTCCGCCCCGTGCTGGGCGCTCGGCTTGGCGCTCACTTCACACTCTGTAGGTTAAACTGCGCCACAGGTGCGTGCGCTCGGGGCAAAAACACGGGGAGGGCGGAGCACTGTCCGCGTCCCGGGCACCCACGGGGACAGGGGCGGCTGCACTCTCTGAGAGGCCCCTCGATTCTCTGGTTCCTGGGGGAGCTCTGCCCCGTGATGTGGGTTTGCACGTCTCTCCTTGCTTGAAGCAGTTTCCGTCGCATTACGGCTCCTGGCTCTGGTGTTCCACACGAGTGGTCCCCCTGGCCAACTTGAAATGCCCCCGTGACCCCTCTAGATTTTGCCTTGAATTTTATTTTGCCCGATGTAAATGTTGCTAAGACTCCTTGTTTTTCTTGTCGTTTTTGATACACCTTTCAACCTTTCAGTTTTGAACGTGCTACGTTGCTTTGTAAGCAACGCAGGGGCGGGAAGAAGTGGTTTGATGCTGACGAACGACAACCTACGAAAGTGCAACAACGTAGCTTCAGACTCCGTTTCGCGTGAGCCCCCCTTCCCGGTGTCCCAGCCCACCCGAGGGGTGGGGAGCAGGCTCCCACTCAGGTTTTCTCAGCGTCGAGACGCGTGGGGTCCGGCGCCCGAAGCAGACGGGCACGGGCTGCCCTTCCCCCACCCCCGCGCACACCCCCTCCACTGCCACCCCGTGGGTCCCTCGCATGGGCATGTGTTTGCCGCCGCCCCCTCCGGACGTCACCAGTGCTGGCGTTCGGCACCTCCATCCCCGCCCGGAAGGACAAGCACACAGCAGTCCCTGAGCCGTCGCCAGGCGCGAGGCGACAGCGGGTCATGGCCCAGCGCCCGACAGGGACGGCAGCCTCGTCCCCCAGCTCCTGCGTCCGGGACACGGTTTCGGTCGGCTCTGAACTATTTCCTGACTCCCCGGATGTCTCGTGTTCCCCAAGGATGCTGGCCGCTCTTGCCTTGTCCCACCCCCCACCCTGCTGACCCCACCGATGCTGCCTGCGTCCCTGTCATCCTGGAGGGGACCCTCCTGGGAAACCAGAGGGGGGCACAGTATTCCTGCACTGAGCTCCCACAGCCCCTGGGTGGGGGGCGACGAGGAGCCTCAGACCAAACTCCACCCCAGCCAGGCCCTCGGCCCCTGTGTGCGAACCAGTCACGAAGGAGGAACATGGGTCGGAGCCGGGGGGGGTGGGGGCAGGTCTGGGAGCCCCCGCCCTGAGCTCGTCCTGAAATTTACAGCCCAGGAAACCGAGAGAAGAACCCGACCCAGGAG